ATTTAGATGTTTAGTATTCTCCACTAGATAAATGTAATTAAATACAATACCACGTTTTATTACACTGTATAATAACTGTAGCATTCTGATGAGCTTCACTAGTACACTCTAATAAAACCTATAATATTGTAAATACAACAATATTTAATTAATATTAACATGTTACTGGTATAGTGAAGTGCCAAGTAACATCACCAGTCTCAGGGTAGTTATTAAAAGTTAGATTTACTGACTTATTATTGTGGTCTAGAGAAAGATTTTTATTAGACTAACTCTTAAAAAAACAAAGTATTACCTCTTTCATAATAAAAACTGATATTATTAGATAAACCTATTCCAACATCATTGATAGGAGAAACTGATACATTATTTAATATACAAGGATCAGGATTAGTAGCTGATATTGTAATATTAGTATTATTAGTCATGCTCACTAATCCATCGACTACATAGTATCCAGTGATAGGTACATTATCCAGTGTATAAGGAGATGTCCATGTTAATAATACACTGGATCCATTAATAAAGGTATAATTCATATTACCAACATTATCCAATAAACCTAAAAAAGAAATGATGATTCTACATTTTGCATGTGTGAATGAGATTCATGACTTATGATATTCACTAGGATGCCACTGTACCATAAATGGAAGTGTTTGTCATATGAAATGAATATGAACATTTTATTTATGAACACTAAATCAGCATTTTTTGAGCTGTGTGATGCAAATTTGCAAAAAGAGAAATAGCTTTGTTGACCAATAGTAACCAAGAGTGTACTCTTGCCGATATGTTTTTGTTTAAAGTATGACTTCTCAAGCTTATTTTTTTCTTGTTAGCACTGCTAACAAGAAAAAAATAAGTTTGAGAAGTCAATTTGAGCAATCCAGTAACTCAATTTGAGCAATCCAGATTGAGTCTCCATTACTCAATCAACTAAAATTCCCATTTAATATCTGTCATTTTATTTCACTATTATAGTGTAGTTTACTTTATACCAAAATGTGTGCTAATATAAAAGTGTTTTTCTGTAAATAAAGTCAGTTTTACTTCAGGTTGCTGAGAATTATTTGGGGCTTCAGTTTGGGGGGCTAATGGGCTATAGCATCCTCGACCTCTTGTTCTGCCATTTATGAAAGTTGATTATTCAGCTTTTAAATAATTAATTAAGCTATTTAGCCATTATTTTTGTGGTAATAATTTTTACGAATGTCTTCTAGCCTGCTATTTTGTGTTTTTATTTTTGTGAAAGTCAATATGCTATGTTGTGTATAAACAGTATTTGCGATTTTTAATTTTGTAGCTCCATCCCAAATAATTAAATCATAAATGTTTTGAGTACTCATTTTTCATTTACAATACAAATCTAACCAATTTTTGTGGATTTCATTTTCATGAAATTCTCATTTCTTTCAAAATTTACAAAAACAAAATCCACAAAAATCGAATGCATGCAGTTTAACATAGCTGAAAAGTAGAATATCATGAAAATTAAACAAGATTAAAGCCATGAAATAGATTATTGATTGATCCACAATATTTTTGGGCCCTGAAAATGTTGCTACATATGATACACACACACCATGTATACACTAACCTTGTATCATTAATATTGCTGTATTACTGGACACTATTTCAGGAGGATTATCAGTAATAGCTCTACATCTCACTTCAGTATTATTATTATGTTCATAAGCTGTTGCTTGTAGCTCTGCTGCTACATTACCACCATTATTAGTTGATGTTGCACTGAATCCTTTAGCTATAACACCAGTATCATGTACTGGTATATTATTAACTGTGAAAATAACTTCATCACCAGTAGCTTCACAAGAGAAGACAACAGTAGAGTTGAGCGTTGTATTAATAGACACTGGCTGAATTGTTATATCTGTGTAAATTAAAACTTTTGTAGCATTAATGTATCTAGCTCCACTTACTAGCACAATGAAACAACCGATAATAAAGTGTGATCAAAAACAAAGTCACAGGAACCTTTGCAACAGAAACGCAGACCATTATCAGAGACCTTGCTGACTCGTAGTCTGGCCCCGCCTCTTCGTCGCGCGGGGGCGCCACCCCCGGCCCGTGCGACGAAGAGGCGGGGCAGACTAGCTGACTCGCGCGCTATTCCAATTTGTCATTTGACCATAGATATTATAGACTTATAGATATTATAGATATTATAGACATGATTTTCACCATTTTGATGCAAATTCATGCAATTTCATGCATTAATAATCACGCACAGTCTGTACACGTGACGTCATCAGTTTCCAATCCCGGTTACGTAGTCTATAATATCTATGATTTGACCAGGCCTGCTGACGTACACGTGATCCATAGTGCGTGATCATAGATACTAATGGAAGGTCACTGGCTGTGCTGCTAGCGCATAGCTCTGAGCTGCATGCAAGCACTGCGGACCACACCTAGTTTTATCGTCGTCTTAACAATGACTCTCTGCAACATCATTATAATTTTCTTTCTTCTGCTGCAGCACAATCATTGTTCTGGTAAGTAGACTATTCATTTTCCCCATTTAGATATGTATTTCGGCATTCGTCAGTTTTAGCGGATATAACAGTAGAGCCAGTGTCTATTAATACAACGCTCAACTCTACTGTTATCTTCTCTTGTAAAGGAACTGGTGATGATATTTCCTTCAGAGTTAATAATACACCAGCATATGATACTGATATTATAGCTAAAGGATTCAGTGCAACATCAACTCATAATGATGGTACAGCAGAGCTACAAGCAATAGCTTATGAACAAAATAATAATACTGAAGTGAAATGTAGAGCTATTACTTATACTCCACCTCAAATAGTGTTTAGTAATACAGCAATATTAATGATACAAGGTTAGTGTGTGTATAGTATATTCATCATTATTCCAGTGCTTCTTCAGGTCTGTTGGATAGTGTTGTTGATCTGGCTTATACCTTTATTAATGGATCCAGTGTATTATTAACATGGACAGCTCCTTATACACTGGATAATGTACCTATCACTGGATACTATATTATAGTTAATGGATTAGTGAACATTATTACTACTAATAATAATACTAATATTACAATATCAAGCACTAATCCTGATCCTTGTATACATAATGTATCAGTATCTCCTATTAATGATGTTGGAATAGGTTCATTTAATGATATCAGTTTTTATAATGAAACAGGTTAGCATTACTCAATGGCTTTATTATGTTCACACTGTATCTTTCAGTTCCTCTCATTACTCCTCCTGTATCAGTGGTACCAGTAATTGATGGACAACTAATATCATTGAATATCAGTATTAATGTAAGTATATTCACCATAAGTGTATCACACAATGAGTAAACTAACAGCATAGCAAATGAATATTGCTTTCATAACTTATTCCCACGCACACACACACACACACATACACTGTAGGTCAGCACGATTTGTGAAGAAGAGTATCCTAATAGTATAACAGTTAATATACTGAATACTGATAACACAGTAATAAAAAACGCTAGTATATCAGCACAAGTTAATTACCAACTGATGATTACTGGAGTCATTGCTGTGCCTATTAATTTGTATACATTTGTTGCTAATGTATCACTGAGTAATAATGGAGGAACATTCAATAACATGTCATCTTTTACATTTAGTAAGTACCCCGGTACTATATAGCTGGTAATTTTCAGTGGAGGGAATTTCGGTTTAGAAAATTTTTAATTTGTAAAATTTTTCCTTCTCCAAAATTACCACCTATTATGGTAATTCATCTTCAATTACTTTTATAAAATGACTCATACACTAGGTTTTCTTGGACCAGTTACTAACATTAGCTCTTCAATAGACAACTGTTCTACTATTGATATAACATGGACTGCTCCTACAGTTGATGATAGAGTATCTATACAGTATTACATACTAAGAATATATGATGCTATTACTGGTAGTCCAGTGAGTAATGTATCAGTATATGATACCAGTTATCAGTTTATGGATAATAATTTATTTATTCATCGTTATACATATGTTATAACTGGAGTTAATGAATTAGGAGAAGGAATATCTAATAATGATACATTCTCATATCAAAGAAGTACATACATTACATACACTTCAATTGTTACATTGTTATAGTTCCCAGATCAACTAAAGCCAACACATCACTTAACATATTATCTTATACACAAGATATAGTTATTGCTGAACTCAATATCCCAGTATGTTATTAATACTTTTATCAATAATTTTTATTATTACTAATTTTAGATCGTACTGAAATGCACTGGTGAAGCTCCTGAACATGTTACAGTTACTGTACTATGTAATGGAACTAATAGCAGTACAACTTTTCTAATAGAACCTAAAAATAATTTTACAGATTTATTGCCAGTCCCTCTGTATCAAGAGTGTACTATCAGTATTCTATTTAGTAATGGCGTTGGTAGTAGTGAAGGATTTTCACTAGCATTTGGTCAGTTAGTATATACGTGTTTACAGGTTATATATTACAAAAGTTACATTAACAGATGCATTCCCTCCAAATATTACTACTACATGTACAGAAACATCCACAAAAACATCCACAGAAACATCTCCTACTACCATACCTGTTACACCAACTCCTAGTGTCAGTACTGGTTAGTATGACATATATTAATTTTAATACATATTATCTATGTGTATGTGTTGTAGTTATCATAATATCATCATCAGTGATTGGGATTCTTATTTTAATAATGCTCATAACAATGTGTCTCACAATAGCAGTTTGCTATTGCCATAAAAACAAGAGTAAGTCTTACAGCAAGTACACAAATATTAATTAACTGTTAATTGCTCTGCTTCATTAGAGTAGCTTATATTTGGTGACATTCTGTTCCTTTCTCTCTTTCTGTTAGGTCATTCAATTCAATTTGCTTGACCAGACCAACCTTACATCTAAAAAAGGAAGTAGCTAATTTTGAAAGTAACTCAAAACAATGTTACGCAACAATAATGTGAGACAAAATTATTTTTTGACTCATAATTAAAAATAAATATTTTATTTTACCGCAAATTCACCTGCATCATTATTACTTGCTGGAATCTCTAAATCTTGCTATATTAACAATTTTAATCCACATTATATATTGCTGATAGAAGTTTATAGATGCAATAAAAGTAACTACAAAGCTTGTCTATGTTGATAATAATTGCTAGAGAAGTTGTGAAAGTCAAGAAATAATTGTCAGTTTCTGACTCAACTTCACTTGATAACTGCACCTAAAGCAACAGCAAATACCTTTTATCTTCAACACTAGGAAAAAGTGCTTGGGTTCAGTTTCCTTTTTAAAATTAACCTTCCCATTACACTAGTACACGTATAATAATCAAGTTTTAGTATAAATAAAATACCTTTTTGATGCTTTATATGTAAATTAGCAAGTGCATGAATCATTATTGATAAATGAAGCTTCAGAAGCCTGTGGTGTAGTGATAAGGGGATCAATTAGTAGATTACTCTTATCTACATCATCATCAGTTTCTACAAAAATCACTAAATCAGTCAGTTTTAAGTACTTCTGCAGCATTTGGAGTAGGGTACCACAAAAGGTACCATTAATATCTACTGTGACATACATGTAATCTATCATTCCATCCTTTACATAAAATTTAGCTAAATTATACTCGTCAGGACATGCAAAGATCAGTAATAGTGCCAATAGCTAATAGCTTCATTGAAAAATTCGACAACCCCAGAGTAGAGTTTGGCACATAAAATCCAAACTATTATTGATAGGTTGCAACTTGATGAAAAGAAGTTGTGTTGTATCTATAATACAAATACTAATAATGCTAATGCATTGTTGTATTAATAATGACTTTGACTTTGTGTGACTTGCAAAGTCAACAATACTGACTTTGTGTGGGCCAGGTATGACTTGTAAAGTCAACAATACTGACTTTGTGTGGGCCAGGTAATGAATAATTATAACAAATCACACTGTGTATATGAACTGTCAAAAGCACACAATACTGCATTCTTGACAATACATAAGTGAAATCATACTTACTTGCTATATTGCAGAAAGCATAAGTGATTAGATCAGATGAGACATGCACTGCTTAAGATCAATAGGGACTGGCAGCTGATAAAAAAATTGTTGGTTTAAAGCATGTGTTTCATTGACAACTCACATGATTCATCATAGTAAAAATGAGTAGGTACAGAGTATGTGCAGCTAAATATCATTCACCCATACAATGTGAAAGAAATAATACAGGTGCATGCATAGGCGTAGGAATGATTCAAAAGTTGGGGGGGGGGCTCAACATTAAAAAGCATGACTTAGCATGTGAACATGGGGGGCTAAGCCCTTTTGTTCAAAAGTTGGGGGGGATTCCTACGCCTATGACATGTAAGTTGTAACAGGAAATACTTCAGCTTTTATGGTAAGGAAGGCATTACCATCACAATCCAATGTCATATTAACTTGAGGGCTAATAACCATTACATCACTTATAGCAGATACACCGTAAATACCATAGAAGTGGAATATTTTACTGCTTTTATTATTCAATTTTTAAATTTTTACATGTTTTTAATTTTACAGTTTACATGAGACCTACTATAAATTAATATAACTAGCAAAAAATTTACTGGTTTTTTTTATTTTACTTTTTTCTGTTATCGTAAAATTAAATTCGCCTTAAAATATTCCCCTAGATATACTAGATTCATAGCACCAATACTGAGTACCATACAGTTGGTTAATTTTGCAGGGAAAACTTTTTCAAATCTTCAAATTTTTAAATAACTTTACCTTCATACACCCTATGTCTGTCATACCTGTAAAAGGATCGTGTGACTGTCAAATGATCCAGTATCCTACCAAACTCTCTTTTGAGGGTCTGATGACACCACGTACATATATTGAATATCATATTGCTTTTGTAAACATTGTCTGGATTTTTATCTACAGAACAGATCACATAATATGCCACGTGACTAGAGTACTTGGGTGATAATAAAGGAAAAGTTTCCTGTAAGCTTTCTTGAGTTGTTCTTCGCTTGCATTTCTTTGAGCCACACCTCTGTCAGACTGGATAGGTAAATGCTTTCAAGCAGAATTTGCATAACTTATGTCAAGCAATGAAACTGTGAAAGTGTCATGTTAATTATGGTAACTGCCAACTTAAAAATAACATCTACAGGTAAACTTCCATGCAATTACCTGAACTTGCCAAGGTGATTACTTGTAAAGCTACATTATAAATTATCATAGATGTAGACTATTATTTTAATTTCAATCCTGATTTTGCTGTCATGTCTTCCAGCTCTTATATGCGTTTCTTGAATGAGGTCTTGCAAAATGCAAAGGCACATATGAAAGATGGCATCCCTGCTTTGGGTGTGCCTCCACTTGATCCTCTAGATATTGGAAAGCTTGCTTTTGAGGAAGGTACTTCTTATGTAAATTTCAAAGCATACTTTCGTGATGTTGCAATCCACGGGTTCTCAGCAATTAATATTAGCAAAGTATCATTTAATCCAGCAACACTTGAAGTCTCAGCCACAGCTGTTGTGAAAACCCTCAAGGTCACTGGTAAATACAAGCTCAATGGCATGGCAATCTTTGTCGTACCACTGGAAGGCAATGGAGACTTCACAGTAAAAGCTGACACAGTTTCTGTGAATATTAAAATGAAAGTCGGCAACAATTTTGGCATAGATTTAATGAAGACCAAAATGGAAGTGGAAAAAATTGGCTTTGATTTCAAAAGTGTTCATGCAGAATTAACAGGCCTTGAAGGAGGAGGGAATCTTGATAAGACTCTCAATAGTCTGATCAACAGTATTGGTGGACGAGTATTTAAGCATGTAGAGCCAGTCTTATCAGGTGCTATGGAACATCAGTTGCAAGCTCTTATAAATGACGAATTGAAGAAACTACCAACTGCTGGTAATGCAATGGCAGATAAACCTCCCATCATGGCAAAAGCTTTCTGCCGTCCACAGTTTGACCTGATCAGTGAGAAAGCAAACACTGGTAACATGGACAGCGTCTTTGATAAAATACTTGCAAATGTCAATTTTAAGTTATCACAAGGTTACGATCCATGGAAAGTAGACCAAGATGCTGAAACTTCATTCAGTAAAAGTATCAGCAGTGGTATACCTTTCATGCCTGATATTCACATTGGTGGAAGTGCAAGGTTTCACGATATTCAGATTTTCGGACTCTCGCATCTTGTTCGTACCGGGCCAGTTACCCTTTCAGTTTCTCCACCTTCGCTAGCTTTCCAAATTGGTGTGGCTGGCTCTGTTCATGGTGGTGGGGATTGGTCAGCTTCCTTGACTCCTATTCATATTTCGGGATCTGGGAGTGTTAGCATCGGTAACTTCAGCATTGGCGGAAAGATCAAAATATCGAACAAGAAAGGAAAAATAGAGAGCATCGGGTTTAGTTCAGATCCCGATGTACATGTTGATATCTCTGGTCTTGGCCCTCTCTCTTGGATAGCCTCGCAGTTCATGGATGCAGCTGCAAAAGTCATTTCTCCTTGGTTAAATGATATTGTGATGCCCAAGGTGACGGATGTGCTGCAAAATGAGCTGGACAACGTTGAGCTCCCTTTCTAATAAAGCATGATTGAACAGATTTTTGTTTAGCACTATGAAACATCTAGACTAGTTATTAGTTTTAGTTATCAATACTGAATTTATAATAGATTTAGAATTTTTTTCAGTAGCTATTGTGCATGCAAAGAGCAAATTCATCTTCTGCATGTTCTCTTACACTGAAATGTTCATGAAAAATTTAAGTTTCAGTTCATGCAAAATCCATTTTTTCGATTAATTAACTAATGGGAGTGTCCCTACTAGTTATTAAAAATAAAATGTCTTCCGAGTTCAAGCCACCAGATTGGTATTTAAAATGACTCCTCTACAAATTAGAACTTAATTTTGTTTGTAGGATTGGACCTCCTAAGCCTGGCCTTCATTTGGATGTAGTCAAGAACGGTACTGTCCTACAGGTGGTTAAAAATAACCCTTGTACCTGAGTCATTCTGCTCCTTCACTTAGAAACTCCTTATAGATGACAAGGAGTATTACTTGTTTGGTCGTAACACTGACGTGTGCGATTTCCCTCTTCACCATCAGTCTTGTTCTAGAGTACATGCAGCATTAGTGCATCACAAATACCTCAACAGACCATTTCTCATTGACCTTGGATCAGGTTTACCAATTATTATAATTTAATAAAAATAATAATAATAAGTGGTTCATTAATATTTATCTTTGTCATCAATGACTATCTCTGTTATGTTATTTTTTTATGTCCTTGTCCCCTTTTGTAAAATTATGAACAGCAATGTCACATTTTTAAAGTCCATTTTATTATTTTTCCAGCTCATGGCTCATTTGTTGGTAGCATGCAGTTAGAAGCACAGAAGCCTCAGCAGTTACTTGAAGACTGCACCTTTTCTTTTGGGGCTTCAACAAGAAAATACACTCTTAGGTACTGCCATGTTTTAATGGGTGTGGTCTATAGTTTTTGATAGGGAGAAACCTCAGCAGGTATCGCTCTTACAGGAGGAAGGGGGAGAAGGAGAGGGAGGGACACTCTTAGGTATTGCTGATCTTGACAACGAAGTTGATGTGCGTTAATTAATTACACATAACCACACCCACTGCATGTTTATTTGACCACACCCTTTAGGATATTACGCAATACAACACAGCTCATAATCGGCAGATTAGTACCATTGGAATTAACGAAGAGGCATCTCTCTCAAGGAAGAGACAGAGGAAGTCTAGCTCAGTTTCTTTCAACGAAACTGAAGAAATTATTAATCCTGGTAACTAAAGCATAAGGTTTTGTCTAACAATAATGATTTTGAGCAGTTTAAAAAGGAATTTAATTTTCAAAGATCATCCCCTTCTCTCTTTCTTTTTTTAGAGGATGTTGATCCATCTGTTGGTAGATTTAGAAACCTTGTTCAATCTTCAGTCGTCATACCAGCAAAGGTATCCATCATTTTATGATTGATCCATTCCTTCATACATGTTCATGTGTGATGTCAGCAATAATTACAACTAAGCCTTAAAAAGTAGCAAATTTTTTGTGAGAAAAAAATAAAGGCTATAGCCCATAGTTTTTTTCAAAAATGACTGCAAAAAATTACCTCATATTTTTAATATATTTTCTGATACATATTCATGTCCTTATGTTATGTACATGTAGAAAGTTTGAGCTGATTCCGACTTCAATTTTTTGAGTTACGGTCATTTTAAGAAAACATCAAAAATCTGAAAAATACCCAAGGCTATAGCCCATGGTTTTTTCCAAAAAATGGCTCCGAAATCACCCCAAATTTTTATTACATTTTCTGATTCATAATGATGTACTTATGCTGTGTAGAAAGTTTGAGCTGATTCCAACTTCAATTTATTGAGTTACGGCCATTTTAAGAAAACATCAAAAATCTGAAAAATACCCAAGGCTATAGCCCATGGTTTTTTCCAAAAATTGGCTCCGAAATCACCCCAAATTTTTATTACATTTTCTGATACATATTGATGTACTTATGTTATGTAGAAAGTTTGAGGTGATTCCGACTTCAATTTTTTAAGTTACGGCCATTTTAAGAAAATGTCAAAAATCTGAAAAATACCCAAGGCTATAGCCCATGGCTTTTTCCAAAAAATGGCTCCGAAATCACCCCAAATTTTAATTAAATTTTCTGATACATATTGATATCCTTATGCTATGTAAAAAGATTGAGCTAAAATACTTCAAGTTATGGCCATATTTTTAAAAGAGCAAAGACTATTGTAGTTTTTGTCCATCAAATTGTAACAATGATAATATTTATTTCTTAATATAGCGAACTCGCAGTGATGACGATGAAGGAAGCACTCCATTAACTCCTACTTCTTCAAAGAGGCATCCGTTCACTCAACCTCTGAGCTCACCCACTGACCCTCTCCCCCCGTCTTCCTCTCAACTTTATCCTGACGGGTCTTTACTCTCTCCTTCCTCTAGTCGTGGGACCCTCTCATTCTCCTCTGTCCTTTCTCGTGGGATAACAGCTGGTATCTCCTCATTAATAATTACTACCGTATAAGTGGTTTTTTTGAGGGAATTATATTTCACAAAATCTACAAAAATTCCAATTCGCTGATTTTAGTTTTGCGAATTCTGCCACGTGTGCCGTGTAGGTACCGTATTAAATTGATTTTTGAAGATTCTATTTTCACAAATCAGGAAAGAATTTGCGAAATTTACGAGCTTGAAAAAACCACTTATACGGTATATCATGCAGTTATATTTTATGATTTTTTAGCTCCTCCGGTTGAAAATCCTGAAGCAACTGAAGCGAATTCAAAGGCCACGTCTTCAGTTCAACCAACTTGGTCTGTTTCTCAGGATATTTTTGAGGACTCGGAAGTACCGAGAAAGAAGAAATATGCCAAGGAGGCGTGGCCTGGGAAGAAACCAACTCATAATATGATGATTTGATGTCACATTTATGTCATAATACTAATAATTAAAAATGTAGTTTTAAATTTTAAAAATTAATAATTATTTTTTGTGGGGCATGCGTATAAAATTAAATTTCAATTTTTCTATGTAATTATTCTTCGTTTAATTAGAGAACGTACACTTTCAAAATGGCGCCCTACATGTTTCTCCTCTGTCTCTGTCTCTTAGGAATGTGTTCCTTCTGTAGAGGGTTCTACATACCAGGAGTAGCTCCGTCAGAGTTTCAAGAAGGCTCGGCGCTAGATATCAAGGTATCTCTATTATTATGTACATTTTGTGTGACTTTTGAGTTTTGATCCCCCAAAAACGATTTTTCTTATCATATACACTAGGCGATGTCAATGACGAGCATAAAGACCCAGCTTCCTTATGATTACTATATCCTCCCGTTTTGCTCTCCTAGTGAAGACACGATACGTTACAAGACACTCAATTTGGGGGAGGTACTAAGAGGGGACAGGATTGTCAATACTTTATACAATGTGAGTATTATACTTTTATACTTGTAAAGCGTCTAATAATAATAATAATAAAATGATAATAATGAGAAATAATGTTACAATATAAAATAACAACAACAACAATAATAATAATAACAAATAATAATATAAAAGTTTACTTTGTATACATAATAGTTTTTTAATTTATTCTTCTCGTTAAGTCTCATTTTTTTACTGATAATGTGTGTTTTCCATTCTCATTACATGTTCATTTCTTTCCTCTTTCTCCAGTTTTCTATGCTCAATGAGGTCAGTTGTCAGGTTTTATGTGAAAAGTCCCTCACTTCAAAGCAGTCAAACGCGTTTTACGAGAGAATCAGCGACGAGTACACACTTCACATGTAAGAAACTCGCAAAAACATAAAAGCTAACTATCATATTGATAATAGGTTGCTTGATAACCTTCCAGCTGCTTCTGTTTTTAAAAATCTTAAGACTGGTGATGTAAGTTTATAACTTAATAGCTAGTTAGACTCATTTTGTTGGCTTCTACAATCAAATACTACAACTACATTAGTCATTACTCCCTTAATAATTTATATATAATGTAGTTACAATATGAAGATGGATTCAAGCTTGGTTATATATCTTCCAACAAGGCATACATCAACAATCACCTCTACATAACTGTCCTTTACCATCGCCTTCAAAGGTAGGCAGAGTCAGTAATTATAAACCACACCCTCTTCCCTCCCCCCCTAGGAGTATGATTGAAGTGTCTTATCGTATTGTTGGCTTTGAGGTTGAGCCCCAGAGTATTGCAATGGACGCCATGACTACAACAGCTGAGGGTAATAAGGTCCTGTGTGCCCTCTCTTCTAAAGGAGAGCCTTCACCAATGGAGATAAAGAAAGACTGTAAGTAAAGGAAGAGAGAGGGAGGGAGGGAGAGAGAGAGAGAGAGAGAGATCTAAAACAAGTCAAAGCATGTACAAATGTCACTTTTACTTTCTCATAGCTCAAAACTCAGTTAGATTCACATTCAGTGTTCAGTTCAAAGCCAGTGATGTAGCGTGGGCGTCACGCTGGGACACTTACCTCAGAATGAGTGATGTTCAGATCCACTGGTTTGCTATATGTAACTCGGTGGCCATTGTACTCTTCCTGACAGGTGAGCAAACATGTGATAGTCATGTGATAGTATTGTGACTTTAGTGATATCAAATGCCGTACTGTGTAAATTTTTTGAGAGACGTACATGCATGTAGATTTCATTAATTTATCCAAAAATCTATTATACACGTTTTATTTTCACTGCCTGCCATCTTGTACCCTATTAAATGAATTTTGTGGGTTTTAGCAAACCATTGCAAATTCCACAAAATTTGAAAATTTTGTGCGGCTACAGTATGTGATAAATTTGTGCTTTATTTGTCATCATTGGTACTCGTGGTAGTCTTTGTGTTGTTGTTTCTGTCATGTGATAGTCACCTGATCTCTATCATTAAAGGTATCCTGGCTCTCATTATCATACGTACACTGAGGAGGGACATAGCTAGATACAACATGAGGGATGAAGAGATGGTAAGCTCCTATTATAGACACCTAACTAAAGGGTCTGTGTATATTTCTAATAGGATGAGACACTGGAGGAAACTGGCTGGAAGCTAGTTCACGGTGATGTGTTTAGACCACCTCAATATCCTACACTGTTGGTTGGGTGTCTGGGATCTGGTATACAACTCTTCTGTATGTTACTGATTATATTAGGTATGGATTAGCATACATGTACATGTACATGTATTTGTTATTAGTTACGTATGTGTATATGTACTTGCTTGTTTCAGTTTATTTTACGCTAGTACATTGTATATTTGTCTTAATTCACCTCATCTCTCTCTCTCTCTTCTCTCTCCCCCCCTTCTCTCTCTCTCCCCCCCCCTTCTCTCTCTCTCTCCCCCCCCTCTCTCTCCCCCCTCTTTCTCTCTCCCCCCCTTCTCTCTCTCCCCCCCTCTCTCTCTCTCTCCCCCCCTCTCTCTCTCCCTCCCTCTCTCTCTCTCTCCCCTCTCTCTCTCTCTCCCCCCCTCTCTTTCTCCCTCCCTCTCTCTCTCTCCCCCCCTTCTCTCTCTCTCTCTCTCTCTCCCCCTCTCTCTCTCCCCCTCTCTCTCTCCTCCCTCTCTCTCTCTCTCCCTTAGCATTTGCAATGTTTGGTATGTTAAGTCCTGCTAGTCGTGGTGCACTACTGACTGCTAGTATTGTCCTGTTCATGTTTATGGGGTAAGAGCTAGGAGTGTGTGTGGCTATACTGTACTATTGTAATGTTGAGTCCTTCAAGTGTACCCTATTGAAAACTTTTCTCATGTACATGTCCTGTTTCAGTGCAAAACATGCATCTTTTAGTAGTAAAACAGAAATTTGTAAATACCATGCAGTTATAATCCATGATCTTATTATTTATTATTATTGTTGCTCTATTAGGCTTATATCAGGCTATCACGCCGCTAGAATGTTCAGAACACTTAAAGGGAATGAGTGGAAGATGGCGGCCACTTTAGTGAGTTTAAAACAAATTAAAAACTAATAACTGCATTTATGTGCCTGCGTAATTCGTAATGCTAATTTACTGGGATTTACTAAGGTATACTGAGATATACTAAACTTCATTTTGATAGACTGCAGTGCTATATCCTTCTGTTATTTTCGGTATCGGATTTCTATTGAACTTCTTCATCTGGGGCAAGCATTCTTCTGGAGCGGTAAGGAACATTAATTATTAATTCACTGTTGGATCTAGAAGGGGAGTTTTCCATTTTTTAGTTAGATTATTGGTCTTCCAAAATTTATTTCTAGATCTAACAATGATTATATAATTTCGTTTTTTAATTTCTAATTTTACACCATGTGTCCTCTCACCAGGTTCCATTCACGACAATGATTGCTCTCCTCTTCCTCTGGTTTGGTATTTCCTTTCCTCTTGTTTTTATCGGGTTTTATTTCGGGTATCGCAAGCAGCCTTACGAGCACCCGGTCCGGACCAATCAGATCCCCCGACAGATCCCCGACCAGCCCTGGTATCTCAGCCCTTTCCTTAGCTCTACTGTCGCCGGGATCCTTCCATTTGGGGCCATCTTTGTAGAGCTATTCTTTATACTTTCAGTAAGTGGAATGAGTACAAGTACAAGTATTTGATGGTTATTTGCTCCAAACTCTGGTCAACTATAGTGTACAGTACAGGGTATTTTCCCAAAAATGGTTAGACATGCATTTAGTTTTTCCTGATATGCACATACATGTATGCACATGTTTTTTATGTTTTGTAAAAAAAATTTGAGGTGATTTTGATCAAAATTGGATTTTTCACCAATTTTTCAAGTTGCTCCAAAATGGGGCCAAAGACCATGGATTATAGTCTTTTCTTGTTTTCAAAAAAGTCACCCCAATTTTTGTTTCATTTTTTGACATAAATGTTTTTTATATCGATGTCTTTATGCTACATGTTTGTAGAAAGTTTGAGCTGTTTCCGACTGATAATTTTTGAGTTATGAGCATTCTTAAAACGAGCTAATTTAGAAAAAGCAATGGCTAGAATTGTCTTGAGCCAAATTTTATCAAAATTGCTAGGAGAGATATCTCCTTTGGTGTAATTTTTACATTTTTACACTGACTATCAATTTTGAGCTGATTCCGATCAAAGTTGGATTTTAAAGAAATTTTTAAAGTTGCTCATAACTAGGGTACGTGTTTCATCGAAAAATATATCTTGATTCTTTATAATATAATGTATGTCACACCATTTTACTAAATCATGTATTATTTTTAGGCTATTTGGGAGAATCAGTTTTATTACTTATTTGGTTTTCTTTATCTTGTGTTTGTCATTCTAATCATCGCCTGTGCTGAAGTTGCCATTGCTATGACTTACTTCCAGCTTTGTGCTGAGGTAGGCCAACCCTTTCCTCCTTCCACAGTGTATTTTATTATTATTTATTTTTATTTATTTTTAGAACTATCATTGGTGGTGGAGGTCATACTTCATCTCAGGGTCCCCTAGCTATTATGTTTTTGCTTATGCCATTATATATTATTTTACAAAGGTGAGATCGAGGTTAACATTACGTTCAAAGTACTGCCATCTCTCTCTCCCTCTCTCTCTCTCCCTCTCCCTCTCTCTCTCTCCCTCTCTCTCCCTCTCTCTCTCTCCCTCTCTCTCCCTCTCTCTCCCTCTCTCTCCCTCTCTCTCTCTCTCTCTCCCTCCCTCCCTCTTTCTCCCTCTCCCTCCTAATTAGTTGGAGATTGAAGATTTCATCCCAACTCTACTGTATTTCGGTTATACTACAGTAATGGTGACTGGTTTCTGGCTCCTAACTGGTACCATCGGCTTCTATGCCACCTACTTCTTCATCCGGCGCATATATGCAGCTGTCAAGCAGGACTGAGGGTTGGGAGGATAGCGGATTGTGGGACGATTTATGTGTATATGTACTCCGTAATGATTATTATTATTAATTTTGAATAATGGGTTTAGAGGCAGCCAGCCATGGTGTATATCTTAAAACTAACAATAATTATTGAACCCAAACAATTGATGCGAAAGAGATGCATCTAAACTAATGTAAGAACATAAAATTGCGTGAGAGATCTGACCTTTTTGCTTTAATGATTTTTACAAAGGTCAAAGTAAAGGTGTGGCTAATTAATGAAAATGGAGCTGCCAATTACTGAGCAGTCGAACAGTCTTTCCTCTAATATTGATATTCAGGGCAGTGATGGTACTTAACGAAACAAACAATGCAGCAGGTAGCCTGTTTCTATTATATGTAGGGATTCTACGTATATTAAAGCAATGTGATGCAGAGATTTTTAATGGCTGGAAGCAGCACAAGGTAGCAACATTCCGTTTAATATTTATTTTCTTTTTGTCATTTTTTCTAGTCACTGTATGATTTTGCAAGCTCTTTGGAGAACCTTTCTATAATGGCAGCTAAAATCATAAAAGTAAAAGGAGCTTTATTTGATATTTCAGTTTTTACCAGCATAATTATTTCAATTATTTTTTTATCAGAATGACAGAGGAATAGTAGTCATGTCAGGCTGCGGCACTTCTGGACGATTAGGATTCATTACAGCAGTCAGTAGCAATCCATGCTTAATGTTTGATATTTTTTTTCTCCATTTTACTCCTTCCCCTGCTCCTCTCCTTTCTTTCAGAGGTCATTCAATCAGGTGTTTCCTGGCAAATTCCATTACACTATTGCTGGAGGTGACAGAGCTCTCCTTCTCTCAACTGAGGCCCCTGAAGACTCCTGGACAGATGGAGTCAGGGATTTAGAAAAGGTAATGAAATTTGCATTTTAAAATTTTCTGCATGTTGCAGCTTCTACTAGTAGCAAAATTTCTTTCTAAAATTTGTAGCTTTAGATGCAATTAGATCTATATTTACTACTCTAGGTTTCTACTTCTTTTGAAGAAGTTTTGTTTATAGGAATCACTTGTGGACTCTCAGTTAGTCAATGAACTGCTATTTATAGTAACATATGGTCTATTTTAGGCTCCATACGTTGCGGGGCAGCTGGATTATTGTATGAAGCACTTGGAAAAATTTTGCCCTGTACTCCTTGGTTTTAATCCTGTCGAACTAGCAAGGTATTTAGTCCATTCTTGTTTATAAAATAATTATTTAATTGTGTTTATTTTTAGACAAGTCTCTATTAGGAACTGGGACAAAACGTTTTATGATGGTATGTTCACACACTACACCATCTCTCTATGCTAAGTTTTCTTCTATAGTTGCAACGGCAATGAGGTCTTTAGGAGAGCCCAAGTGTTACATCATTAATCCAGTGATTGGGGTATGTTACTGTACTTTTCATTACTGTACATGTATCTCACAGCCAGAACCTATTACTGGGTCTTCAAGGATGAAGAGTGGAAGTGCAACTAAAATAATACTGGAGACATTATTTATCCTGTCAGCAAACAGAGTCATGGAATTGGAGCCACAATGGTACAGGAGAGAGGGAAAGAGAGAGAAAGAGTGTAACTAGGTAATGACACATAGATGAAAAAAGAGAGTGTATGACCAGCATATATAAGTACAAAAGACTATATTTCTCTCTTATAGTCGAGCTAGTGATATATTCTTGTCTTATGAAATACTCCTTCGCTGCACTTACTTGCAAAGCAAGAGTATAAGTCGTCTCCTAAAAGCTGCAGGAAACACGTATGTCAGTATATTAACAAACAAACATCATGTGATACTACTGCGACTGTGTAGGTTTTGTACTGGTGGGCGTGTCTGTTATCTTGGGAGAGACACAGAGGGTATACTGGGAGTTGTTGATGCATCCGAATGTCCTCCAACGTATGGAGCAGGTACTACATAGAGAATGAATGAACTAATGAACATTTAATTTATGACATCTTGTCAGATTATGACGACATTCGTGGTTTTCTCCAAAAAAGTTGGTCAGCCCTGAGAAACAACGAAGGGGATCTGTCACAAAGAGTAGGTTCCTAACAACATCTCAATATTGATCCTGTACAGGGCCCCTTGTTTAATCTAGACTGGGAGTATTTTAAGGCTGAAGTTCTTCCTCTTTTAAGCGAAAAGGATTGCGTTATATTTGTTGGAGTATCCCCAAATGACGCGAAAGACTTATTGCAACTGATACAAGAGAAAACGTGTACAATAGGAATGATCACAACCTCATCACCAGAAAATGTATAAATAATTATAAATACTTATTACTATTCTTATAAATAATTTTACAGACTATCAAAGACCCTGCCAATATAATATCAGTCTCCATTTCGGTAGCTAGTGAAGCTATTGAGGCTTTGCTCCCATCTTCTTTTATTTCTTCCTCTCTCTTTACAAATGCTGCTTCTTCTCGTTTCATTGTCTCGTTAATGAGTGGCATGTGCATTAAATGGAGTCTCAATGCAATCAGTACAGGGGCCCACATTGCTAAGGGGAAAGTGTTGGGAAACAAAATGATTGATCTACAAGTGAGGTGAGCAGGAGGAAGGAGGGGGGTTTAAAGCATCATGACATTGTGAAATTACAAAATTAAATTTATACTTGCAGCATCAAATTTTGATTCAAAATTGACTTCAACTGTCCATACTTGCATTGCCTTGCCTGTGTATATAGTTATGATTGCTCTATAATTATTGCATTGTTGTTTCTTTATATATAACAATGATGAGTATATCTAAACAGTGACTATGTTCTATATCATAATCTCTTATGTACACTGTACCTTTACACAGCAATACCAAACTGTATTATCGCTCAATTGGTATCATACAAGTGAGTTATATAAATCATATTTCTTTCCTATTTTTTATTTTAATTATCAGGAGCTAACTGGTGCATCCAGACATGTAGCTGAGAAGTATCTTTTGTTATCAATTTATGGCTCTGATACTGAGCTACCTACAACTGACGAAGAAGTTTTGAGTCACATTTCAGCAGCAACTGGAAAACCACTGGTATAAGAAAAGAGATTTATTATCGTTAGAGTTTGATTTGCTTTTTATCTCAGATTGTTCCAACGGCCATTTTAATGATACGTAAAAGCGATTTATCAGTTGAAGGTGCTCGTGAGTGGCTGAGGAACCAACCTGTTCTAAGAAAGGGATTAAACAATGAGCTTTGATATTCTTTGCTGCATTAAAATATTAGACACTTTATTTAATAAAAAATATATCTTGACTACTCTTACCTGTATGCATTAGCTTCTCAGTTATTGTTGGTGTTTAAGTTATTTGCACTGGAGCCTGTCCAAACTGATGAATTCCACTGGATGGACCTGCCCCCAGTCTTCTATTGACTCTCCCAACAGTAATGGCTGAAAAGGGACGATCATCTTCCGCTCTGTCCAAGCTAGAGGAACAGCTCACCTGCTCGGTTTGTCTTGAAATCTACACTGATCCAAAGACTCTACCTTGTCTGCATTCGTTTTGCCAGGACTGTCTATTTGGATTGATGTCAAGGGACGTGAATAAAGAGTTCATCTCTTGCCCTTCTTGTCGGCTTCAGGTAAAACTAACTGGAGGAGTATCTACTCTCCCTGTAGCATTTCACATCAACAATTTAAAGGAAACCTACTCCCAGTTGAAGGATAAGGAAGACATTGAAGACTCTCCTAAGAAAACCAGCAATGATCACACCCAGTCTGCAGTGGCCATTTGCAGCAATCATAAAAAGCCTCTCGATACATTTTGTGAGACTTGTGACATGATGGTTTGCTTTACTTGTGTTAAGCAAAAGCACAGAGATCACGAGTACGACTTGATAGCTGATAGTTATCACAAACAATGTCGAATACTGAACTCGTGTCTTAGCCCTGTTAAAGAAAAAACAGTTGCCACAAAGCAGGCATTTGGAGCTCTAGTGGAAAGAGAGAATCAGATTAAGCAGCAAGGAGAAAGCATCAAGGAAGATATCCATGCAATGGTGGAGGAGATAATCAGTAACCTCCGCCAGTCAGCAAGTCAACTTGTCGAGGAAGTTGATGCAGCAATGGAGGAGAAACTAAAGGTGATCACAATTCAAAAGAAATCAGCTGAAAAGACCCTGGGGGTCTTAAATGAAGTTCAAGAATACGTGGAACAGAGCCTCAAAAATGAACCCCCTGAGATGATCTTGAACAGGAAGAAGCAACTGATGGAACGGATGAGTGAAGCCAGTGCAGATATCAATCTTAATGAGCTGTGCCCAATAGAAACAGCCGATCTTACACTTGTCAAAGATGAAAAGATTCTTTCGTCAAGTAATCACATTGGAGAGACACACATCACCTTCTCAAAACTGAAGCAAAGTAATATAATGAATGTTGGTCCGGTTAAATATCTCAAAGACAAGAAAGTTTCCTTTTCAGTAACACTAGAGGGACCAGATTCATCTCCACTGAGTATTCCACTCTCAGCTTTACACTGCCATTTGCTGCAACGTAGCAAGTGCGAGAAGACCATAGCTACAGTAACATCCTCAGTAACATCTCCTGGAGTATACGAGGTAGAGTGTAGCCCACTCAGCAATGGCCATCACATAATAATATTCAATGCTTGTAATGTTGAGCTTGAGCCTGCATCAATCTTAATCCCGTTCAGCCCATTCCTTGACACAATATCACCAGTATACACTATATCTGGGCTCTCTCATCCCTGGGGAGTATCTGTCACATCCAACGGGAGCATCATGGTAACGGATAACTGGGCGCACACTGTCATGACGTTTGGTACTTCACAAGAAATATTCGGAGGCAGTGGTGCTCTCAAGTTCTCTTATCCACGTGGCATAGCAATCACGCAAGACAACTTCATTCTTATAACGGATAATGATAAAGTACAGAAGTTGAATATGAGTGGGCAACGCATTGCATCTGTAGGTAAAGAAGGCAATGGAGCTCGTCGTTTCTCTTATCCGGCCGGGATAGCCATTTCTCCAATCAATCAACTTGTTTATATAGCCGATCGAAGCAACCACCGCGTGCAAGTACTCAACCCTGATCTAACCTTTTCACATTCTTTTGGTAGCATGGGAGGAAGCAGTGGACAGTTTCAGTACCCAACTCACATCTCGATTGACAGTCAGGGCTCCATATATGTCTCTGATCATGGGAATAGGCGCATCCAGAAGTTTTTGATTGATGAAAAATTTGCATTTTGCATTGCAGGTAATGGGGTTGACACTCCAAGCGGAATAGCGGTTGATGGTAGTGACCTGGTCTATGTTGCTAACGAAGGAGGGCAGTATATTTCAGTTTTCACGAGCGAGGGAGAGTTCATTCGTAGTATTTCATTAAAAGGAGTCAGTCCAATTGGATTGGCTTTTGATAAAAAAGGAACACTCTATGTGTGTAGCAACAAAGAGATACTGGTATATGGAATGTAAGAAAAACCACACGGACTGGTCTAATTGGTTATTTTGTAACTGGTTTAATATTATTAGTTATTAATGCATTACTGTAACTTTGTTTTTACACCTTAGTTTGCACTGACAAGGTGTCAAAAAATTTAGGAATTTGAAAATTTTTAAAAATTCATTATTGTTTATAGATATTATTATCATTAAATGAATGAAAAAAAAAAACAAAAAATTAAATTAAAATATAATACCCTTCATTAAAATAATTGTGTGCATAAAAGATAAATCCTATATACCTCTTACAATAAGTATAAAATACTCCATTAAAATAGTGTGCACTGTTAATAAAAGATAAATCCTATACACTTCTACAATAAGTATATATTACTATTGTCAAAAGTAGATGCACTCTTATTTTTGTGCTATTAATATTCCATCAAGTATAACACCACGTAATCATTAGGAAAAGTCCTTTCCAACGACATCAACTTGAAAACCAATCTTCCTAAGAGCCTCGTGCTTAAGGATTAGGCGACCGTCAAAAATAAAGGCAGGCTTCTCCATAAGACCGTAAATCCTTTCGTAATCCAGCGTAACAAACTCGTCCCATTCGGTACAGATGACAAGAGCATGCGAGTCTTTGGCAGCCTCATAAGGATCTTTACATATCGTCACATAGCGGTCAAAATCAGACGGAGAATGGAAGCTCTCGCAGTCAGAGAGGTCAGATCGAATCTGATCCTCGGATACTTTTGGGTCATAGATGACGATACGTGCCTCCTCTTCTAGAAGGTACTTGGTGATGTATATACTGGAGGACTCACGAGTGTCACCTGTGTCTTTCTTGAATGCAAACCCATATATTGTTATTTTCTTACCTAAATTAAAGTATACATGATAGTGATACATAATGATAAGGCAAGACACTCAAAATCTCAAATAAAATAGCCCATAGTTTTCAAGGGGTTTAAACTTTATAAAATAATTCAATTTTGATTGGAATGAACTCAAAGTTTCTATGCAATGTATATACATCAGAAACAATTATAAAAACAGTGAATTTCTCCTAACCATTTTTGCCAAAATTTGGCCAAAATCCCTGTACTAGGGTCTTTGGCCTGACTTTTGAACAAATTTAAAAATTCATTAAAAAATCCAAATTTGATCGGAATCAGCTTAAAGTTGATACACAACATAAGTAATGCATATGCAATTATGCATCAGCAAAAAATATAAAAAAGAACTTTTCATTTTTGGAACATGTACAGTACTGCTACATTGACTGCCAAAGTGCTAATAGTTCTTTACGATGATTAACTTGTTTCTAACCTGTGATGGTCCCAAAAAGCCTCTTGATTATCTTATTAACGAACCTCCTTCTCTGAAAGTTATTCATCAATATGACCTGATGCCAATACTCAGCCACTTCAGGAAGGTTCAGAGCCTCGCAGAGATACACCAAATTAAGAACGTCCTTCTGGAAGCAGCTCCCGCCAAACCCGATACTAGCCCGCAAGAACTTATCCCCGATCCTTGAGTCTTTCCCAATGGCGTAGGAGACTTCGCTCACGTCCGCCCCAGTTGCCTCACAAACGGCACTGATTGCGTTTATAGAGGATATGCGCTGAGCTAAGAATGCATTCGCCGTCAGTTTAGAGAGCTCTGACGACCACGTGTTAGTAGTGAGTACCCTCTCTTTGGGTACCCACCTCTCATAGACTTCAGAGAGTGCCCTAATGGCCGCCTGTCCCTCCTTTGAGGTATCGCCACCAATCAGAACACGGTCGGGATTAAGGAGGTCCCTAATGGCTGTACCCTCGGCTAGAAACTCAGGATTAGATAAAACCTAATGTATTGATAAAAAGCATACATTAATACATGTACATTGAAAATTGTACATGTACTGTATTAATTAACAAACTCAGCATAAACATACATGTAATAGTACATGTACGACGTTATACACATGTATGTAGTAATTATTCACTCTTGGTGTATAGGCATACATGTACATGTACATGTACTAGTACATGTATTAGCAGGCTATAGGCATACATGTACATGTACATGCATTAGCTGACCTGAAAACCAGTACACTTTGAATTATGTTTTAGTATTTTTGAAATACTCTCAGCAGCTTTAACGGGGACGGTACTCTTCTCGACAATAATCTTTGCAGATTTTGCCGTGTCTGCAATCTTCCTAGCGGCCGATTCGATGTACTTTAAATCAGGGGCTCTCCCTTTGCCCATTCCGAACGTCTTAGTGGGCGTGTTCACAGATATAAATATGAGATCGGCTTCTAGCACAGCTTGAGTGACATCGGTGGAAAAGAAGAGATTCTTCCCGCGGTTCCTTTTGACTATTTCCTCAAGCCCTGGCTCAAAGATAGGCAGAGTGTCGGAGTTCCATTCGTCTATCCGTCGCTGGTTAATGTCGACAACCGTCACTTTGATGTCCGAACATTTATCAGCAATGACAGTGCATGTTGGACCGCCCACATAGCCAGCACCAATGCAACAAATATTTTTGACTGACATTATGTGTGTGCCCGTTCCTAATAGAAACGAAAAAAATGCAATATTTAATACCAAGAGTAGATAATACCTACACTAAAGAGAATACTCAATGGGCCCATAAACTACTGGAGTATGTGGAGTAGCATAGTTTGGAGCATAATGAGTCACAAACTTCTAGCTTGAATTCAATATGGGAAGTGGTACAAGTGCTAGTACAACAACCTAACTGTTTAGTGATACCCTACCCATCTGCTTAATACCCACCTATGCAAGCGTGGAGAGTCCAATGACTTAGGCTAATTTATTTTCCAGTGACTCAAAGTCATTTGGAAACATTTTCAGATTCTGGCATTATTACAATCAAGAGTAGATAATATTATCTACTCTTTTTACAATATAATAATTGTAACAGATGCATGTACATGTACATGTAACTTGATAGTCAATATTTGAGTAAAGCCCAACATACACTACATTCCACAATGTTGCTTTCAATGTTTGCCCAACATTTGATTGTGGTATGAGCATAATTGGATTTATTTCAAAGCATAAGAGGATAGAATTTCTAAAAGCATAATAGGCAAAAATTGAAGCATAATTTGCCTAGCTCTACATCAGGCTTCAATAAGGCCAAAGAATTTTTATGCACTCTTAATAATAATTACTTGAATTGTGTTTGTATAGTATATAGTAACAAGCAAAATGTAGCAGTAAAGTATAATCATTATGTAAACACACAACAGACGTACACATATGTATAATGTACAAGATATACATGTACATTGTATCTATAGGTATAATTACATGTAATTATTATAAATATATTTAAATTTGCTGGTAATATGAACAGCTGTTTTAGCAGTAAAGATGTGGAAAGTGAAACAGACTTACACATATTATAGTACTTTTTTAGCATGAAAAATTAGTTAACAGTTTGTACATATAACAGAAAAAATTCCTTGAAAGAAACTCAGACCTTAATGTACACAATACACATGTACATTAATGAGGTGTGACAATTATTGTGATAAAAAGGTGGGACAATTCAAAGTTATTTTGCCCCTAATGATTCATAAGATAAAAATGCACATGATGTCAACTCTTGAATCATACACTAGGCAATAATAACAATAAAATTATATACAAAAAATATATTATTATATTATATATGTATATATATATACATATAGAATGTAAAATTTATAAAAAATATATTATTTTTATAATAATAAGTATTATAATAATGTCAAAAAATTATTCTGCTACTCTAGATAGTTCAAACGGAAATAGGAAACATTTAAAATCTATATTTACCTTGGTCCTTACTGAATAGAAAAGAGACTAAGTAAGCTCAGAGACCAAAACAAGTATCTTCCAATTTTAATTCTTAACTACTGTGGGCCGTGGCTGTGACAACCTGCGCATGCGCATTAGAAGTGCCCGCCCATAATTTTCTGTGCAAGTCACGTGTCCTTATTAGTACAAAATGGCGTCTGACAACGAGAACATACATGTAGATGTGGAGGCCTTTTCCGAGCCAAATCAGCAAATGAGTGTAGGGAGGAACATACTGGAAGAGCTCAAGGCCGAGAAGAATGCCTTAGACCCCTCCTTTTGTCACTGTATCCGTTTACTTGAAGCAGGTAGCTCAAATTAATATTTATTGCAGTTTATATTAATATTTAAAGGCTGGACTAGCTAGTCTGTTATATGTACTTTTGGGTTGTTACGTTCATGTACTTTTAACATATTCCTAATCACGAGGCTTTCACATGGCTGATGTGGGTTGACAGCTTCATTCATTAAAGTACATGTAATATCTTCCTTTCCTTAGAAATAAATCGCTTAGCCGACAGAAATGATCCAGACAAGTCACTAAAAGAGAAGATCTACATCCCGATTGAAGACCAAAAGAACTATAACCTAGTTGGGCGCCTTTTGGGGCCCAAGGGTCTCACGCTTAAAAGAATCCAAGCCGAGACCGATACTAAAATCAGCATATTGGGTCGGGGATCAATCAAGGATAAATCAAAGGAGGAGGAGTATCGTAATTCTGGCAAAGAAATGTACGCCCACTTGACAGACGAGCTTCACGTCCTTATTGAGTCCATCCCTCCCAATGCTGTTCAAAAACTCGCAGCTGGGATTGCTGAAGTTAGGAAAATGCTCATACCACCAGTGAGTATTGAGTAGTGTAATTAATGACTAGAATTAATTTTGTAAGATATTTTTTGTTTATTTTTAGAATATATGTACATGTACATGTTCGTGTACTATTTTATTAATTTTATTCTTTTTAGGAGCCAGGTCAACCTGATTTCCCGCCGTCGAAGTACGATATGTCTTCTTCTCCTTACGGTATCTCCAGAGGGGGTCCTGGGTACAGGTGGGAGAGTATGTTCCGGCCTCCACCTCCTCATCGGTTTGGTGGGCGTGGCAGACCAAGAGGAATGAGAGGGAGACCAATGAAGGACGAGAGAAGGTAGAGAGAGAAAAAGATGTGTGTGTGTGTGTGTGTGTACATGTACATGTACATGTACAAAATTTTTCTGTGACATTATTGTTAGGTGCATAAATGTACATGTACTATTGTATTATGTACACATACCGTATAGCAGGTATATTCCGTTCAAGTTTAATTTCGTTCTCATTCCTTGTGGAACGAACATTTTCTAAATGAAAAGGGCGTTTCCTCAATGCCACGTGTGCAAAATGGCTGCTCAGAACGAAAATAAAACGAAAGAAAATTTCTAATCCTGCTTAGAACAAACATTTTCCCAGACGAAATATACCCGCTATACAGTACTATGTCTATTGACATGTACATGTATATTCAATGTACATGTACATGTACATGTAGCTTGTTTCATTGTGCTGTTGTACATGTACATGTATTTTTTTATTTTGTGTCTTTCAGAGCTTCAGGCGGTCCCTCTCATCCTCCTCCAGCTGGTGAAGGGGCTCCAAGTTGGAGAGATGAAACTCCTTCTAATGACCAGTGGAGAGATGGTACAATATCTACTGATTATAATCACGGGTTAGCAATATAAGCCATTAGCACTTTTACACTAGTTGTGTGGTTTTTCATGTACAATACATGTACGTGTACCGTATAGCTGGAAATTTTGGAGGAAGTAAAATTTGGTGAATTGCTAAATTTTGGTGATTGGTGAATTTTAATTTGGTATTGAATTAGTGGCCATGTGCCATTGAGCATGCGTATAATGGCTCAAAATGGCAGATTTTATTTTGGCGAATGGCTATCAAAATGCCAAATTCACCAAATTTAATTCCCTCCAAAATTTCCCACTATACGGTGCATGCACAATAGCACATACAGAAGCAGAAATTATATTGTACATGCCTTTTTGAGCTGAATTACTTTTACCACTCATTATTATTATCATTATTGTTGTTGTTAGTGTGATGTCTGGCACTGGATCAGCTCCACCTGGCCCTGGTGGTGGATATTCAAATGACGTCAAACCATTTTCTGCTCCTCCTCCTCAAGCTGCTAATCACGAAGGGTTCTTCTCTGATTTTGCTGACACATCAGGTAATAGTTAAATTACACATATACGCCTTAGTATATTGTAGTATACTTCAGTATATTTTTGTATATGTTAGTATACTATTGTATACTCTAGTATATCTCTGTATTTGCTTCAGCTCTTGTGTTCACTCTTGGTACTGCAATATTTAGCCTTGTTCCTCTCACTGATGATGTTTTATTGTTAGTGGGTGTGTCAGTGAACACGCCTTTTTTGCGGCTCAGAGCTGATATTGATAAATCTGTTCATAGTCCTTACTATTCCTGTCAATGAGTTTTAAGGCTCCAAGCATTGCATACATGATATTAGAACTTAGAAATACAATCGTACATGTACATGTATACTGCTTTATACTACATATACATTATAGCAAGAAACTTTAATGGCCCATACTTTATTTTCTCTCTCAGATTCAAGAAATGGCCACGAGTGGAAAGCTGGCTATCCTTCAGCTTCAACTCGTCGCGACTATCGCTACCATCCATATGATAATGCCCAGGCTCCTCCCACTGAGGGCGGGTTTTACTAATTAACGAGTAAGGTCTACATGCATGTACATGTACATTTAGGTTCAGGCATTTTAAAATGAAAATAAAAATTTCAAAATTGAATTAAATTTAGTTTAGTTTCTTGAGTTTGTAGTTAATTTTTAAGGACATCATGATTAAAATTTTGTACAATTTTTAGATTTGAAAAAGTTAACCAAAAAAGACTTGATGATTTGTGTAACTTTCTATTCGTTAAAAATCAAAAAAGTAAACTGCTACGAATTAGTTATTTGGTGTTCTGTTTTTCCAGTTAATCAATAAAACTATGTAACATATACAGCACAAGATAAAAATAATAATAATAATACATGTAGTATAGGTAATAATAATAATAATGATAATAATAATAATGACTATGCATTATGTTAATTCTGTTTGGTATACAAAACTAGAAGTGTAAAATGGAGTTTATTTTTTATTTTGAAAAGAAAAAACTAGCAGTAAAAAATTTACAATAAATAAGTTACAAATACACGTTCACCGGTATAAAAAAAATAAATTATTGTCTTCTCTTGAAATCTAATAGTTGAAATTAGTGGAGTGGCTATGGCTAGTAGTTCATTAGTTCATCCATTGTGTCATTAATATCTGACAAATATTGGCTGAGCTAAAGGATGGAGAAAATGATTATAATGTACTCTACATGTGGGAATGTCTTACCTCAGCTGAATCTGAAGTTTGTAGTGGAGGCGGAGGAGCAGGAATAGACGTAGGAGGAGGGGGAGGAGGAGGAGGAGGAGGTGGAGGGACAGACAATGTAGCAGGTGGTGGTGGAGGAATTGATGTGGAAGGGGGAGGTGTTGGTGGTGGAGGAACTGATGTGGAAGGGGGAGGAGGAGGA